TTACTCTTAAGGGAGAAATGTAACATGTTTACATTAGCTAGAGTAACAGTGTGCCTCAGTTAAACTATCTGTAAAATAGAAAAACAAACAAACTTCCCTAGATTAAGATAATGAGGCTTTAAATCAGGAATCTCCTCTTGTCCTAGCATTATCAGGATGCCCTTCTCACTTTGGATATTTAGTCAATCCATCCAGTTTGTGATAAACCAAAGCTGAGAGAGGTATTCTAACTTGAGCAAGTTAGCAAGTTAGTGGTAGACATGGCATTATTATTCCAGAGACTTGACTCAAGGCTCATGTTATCTTTTCACCACCTTTAATCCCACTTATCATAAGATGTTTATCTTTTTGTCTTTCATATAGTTTGTAAGGCCTTTATGAGTACAGAATAGTCCATTGTTCTTTGTCCAGCTCTGATTTACCCTAATTTCTACTTGTCCAGATGATGCCTAACTCCAGGGAGAATGAGTGAGGATGTCATTCTTCTCTTACTGTGGATCACATGTGTATTGAAGATGCCATGTGGATTGAGATGTTTAATCCTTCCTTGGTATTTCAGAGCCACAGTTAATTTTTTAAGTCAACATGGACAACATAATTCAGTCTTCTGATCTTTTATTGTATTGGCTTAAAATATATTTTATGAGGCAGCAACCCAGGGTCATCCCTCCATTGGCAACACTCTAGATTTTTGGCTGGCAAGCACACTTCTTCAACATTAGTATTTTTAAAACTTCTTTTTGGACTGTAATCCTCAATAAGAAATGTATTCTATGCTTCAGTGCAGTACACTCTGTGTGTATGTGTATGTGTAACAAGGCTCACAAAACAATATTTAACCTCACAACGTGGATTTTCTCTATTATTTTAAAAATACTGGTTTCAACACACTGGATTGATTTTTATGACCACAAATGGCTGGAACCTACAATGCAAAAAATGGCATCCTATTGAATTTGCATTTTTAAGGCTGATTTTTCTATTAGCATACTGTGTCATATACACACACATATTTGAAAGCAAGAAAACCAAACTGTACATTTTTAAAAATATAGAATTGTACTCTAATTCTCATTAAACATTTAGGACTTGAGACTCTAGGACCTGATGCTAGACTAAATCTCTCAAACATAGGAACTGTATGAAATTTCACTGTACATTACTGTGTTTTAAATGGATCCTTCAACATAGTGTAGTATGTTTGGGGACAGGGAAAACGAAAAGTTCTTCTGAGGGGATTTTGATAGTAACAATTACCAAGTGAAAGTTTGAGAGAGAAAAATAATTCTGTCCAGCTCTATTCTAAGTTCTAAATTTTATGGCATGTTAATAGTGCTAGATGGGATGTTAAAAAAATTATTAAAGTAAACATAAGCCAGTTTATTGTTGTAGTCTGTTAACATTTTATATATATTTTTCTTTTACTATGAAACAGATATAAGAGACAAATTTTTGGAATCAGACTCCTAGCCCCTAAAAAGACTAGACTGGGAGATTGAGAGGTTGGACGAGGTCCCTAAGTGACCTGTAGGGACATAGGCTTGGAAACTCTGATGGGATGATTAAGCCTTCCATAGAAGCTTTTAATTTTCACTCCTGATAGAAGGAATTTTTCTCCAAAAGAAAATAAGTATATTTAATATTTTGCAAATGATCAATGCCCAAATCATCTTGAGAACATATTCAGTTCTCTGGTTCATAAAGTGTAGAAATGCATTTGTTATGACAGATCTTTTATGGTTAGAAAATCTGATAGGGAAGGACATATTTTCTTTTTTCTTTTTTTTTTTTTTTTAAAGATTTTATTTATTTATTTGACAGAGAGAGACACAGCGAGAGAGGGAACACGAGCAGGGGGAGTGGGAGAGGGAGAAGCAGGCTTCCCGCGGAGCAGGGAGCCCGATGCGGGGCTCGATCCCAGGACCCTGGGATCATGACCTGAGCCGAAGGCAGACGCTCAACCAGCTGAGCCACCCAGGCGCCCCGGGAAGGACATATTTTCAATCACCTAATTATGCATCAGAATTATGCATCAATATCAGAATAATTCATTTTCTATAATTTGGGTAATTTTAACACAGTTAATGTACTGCTAATAGCAACATTGAATTTAAATCAGTGCCAGCAATGGCAAGAGACCAGAATGCATTAATTTATGTGGTACAGCAGAGACAAGGAGGACTCTGAATACTGGGTCATTAGTGACTATTGACAGATGAAATTTCCTTGAGTCATTCTCTGAGTTGGGCTCATATTTTTGGCACCAAATAGAGTATTTCCCCGAGTTTACATTTTCCCTGTAATTGTTTTAGTTTTAAGCTGTCCCACCAGTTTGTTCATCTATCCCAATCCCCGCTGGACATCTTTAAGATGTCATAATTATCTGAGATTATACCTGAGTAAACCAGAACCTTCATCCCATCAGACAAAAACAACCTGTTTTACTTCCTTTATTTTATTTGTAGGTGTTACTACATTTAACATTTCTTATCCACAATTCCAGAACCAAAAAAAAAAAAAATCTCTGAAAACCAAAATGGTTTTGGTAACTCATTTGTCAGCAAAACTTGAACTCAATTTGCTACAAAACCTAAATGCACTGTCAGGAAGCTATTTATCATTTATTCCACTTGGTGGGATGTGTCTTCTACAGATATGCTGCTATATTTGATTACTTGGTATTGTTCCAGGAACTGCTGGGGGTACACTGTTATATTGGGTATGTAAACCATGTCTCCTTTCTAACATCCAAAATACTCTGAATTTTTTTTTTTTTCAAAATATTCTGAATTTTAAAACATACTTGGCTGCAGGGATTTTGGAGAATGGCTTATGGATCTGTACCACTATCCAACTATCATGGCAGAAATCCAGGAGTCATTTTTTTTACTCTCTTTTCTTAACCTCCACAACTATCAGATCACTGAATCTATTAACGTTTTCACCCTTCTTTCCCCCACAAATTCTACTTCTCTAGTTCAGGGTCTCATCAACTCTTAACTGGGGTACCATAGCCACCTGCTACCTGAAATCTTAGCAGATGGTGTTAAGCTCAAATCCATTCTCAGCAGAACCCCCTCAGCTAATGATCTCTAAAAATGTAAACCTGAATTCTCCTCTGCTTAAATCTTTTAGTAACTTCTCATTGCTCAGGATAGAACCCATGGTCCTTAAAATGGTCCCACAGAATCTGACCCTTGTTTAACTGTGGATCTGTACTCGGTAAACCAAAATTTTATATTCCAACAACAGAGTTCATTGTTTTTTCCTGTGTGCTTTTCTCTTGTTACTACCCGCCCCCCTGCTGAGATACCTTCCTTTTATCTTTACCTCTGTAACTCTTTCTGGTTTTTAAGACTCAGTTGAGTTCTCACCTCACTTAGGAAACTGTACCCCACAACACACACACCTCAATATACACCTGAGCTGGGGGGAGATGTCCTATTCATAATTCTATCATGCACTTTACATATATGATTGAATATAATCTGCTTTTGTGCCTGTACACACACGCACACCCCTTTAGATATTTGCAAAGCATGGAATATTTCTCTTTCCTCTAAGCCTATTGTGGAGTAAAAATATTAGGGTGAAAGTGGCACAGGGAGGGGAGAGGAATCGGGCAGGCAGGATATTTGCTTTTTTTATGGGCAGCAACCACAGAAGTTGAGGAGTAAGGAAACTTGTTTCATGTATATAATTAGTCTATTGAATTTAGATTGCTGTTATTTCCATCTTATTCCTTTGAATTCTATATTATTTTTGTGCCTTTTGGTTTTGTTCCAAGACCTGGGTTTTACCATTTAGAAGTGAAGAGTTAACTTTATGATTGAAATGTCTTATAGTTTTTGTTTGTGAATATTTTACAATTGAGTATATTGCTGTTGGTGAGGAGTTAAGGGGGGCAGCTTTTACTTAAATCATATAATCAGACTAGACCAAAAAAAAAAAAAAAGGCATTCTGTCAGTTTTACCTCTTACATAAATACTTTTTTTTTTTTTTTTAAGGTTTTATTTATTTATTTGACAGACACAGCGAGAGAGGGAACACAAGCAGGGGGAGTGGGAGAGGGAGAAGCAGGCTTCCCACGGAGCAGGGAGCCTGATGCAGGAATCAATCCCAGGACCCTGGGATCATGACCTGAGCCCAAGACGCTTAACGACTGAGCCACCCGGCGCCCCTTACATAAATACTTTTCAAATCTATCTACTTTTGTCCATTCCTGTCACTACCATCATCTCTTGCCTGGATTTTTGCAAATGGCCTCCCTATTGATTATCTGAATTCTTGCTGGTTGGTTCCCTCCCCATGCTGTACCCAGAGGGATCTTTTCAAAACATTCAAAACTGCTTAAAGCCCTTCATTACCTTAGGATAAGGCAAACTCCTTGACTCAGCCTAAAGGCCTGGCACGATTTTATTCCTGCGTAGTGTGCACACCTCTGTCATGTTACTCTCTGTTCTGGCTCTGCTAGCCTTTTTTTTATCACCGTGTTCCTCCTGCCTTTGTCTTTTCAAGGGTCATCATCCCTGCCTGGAACTCTCTTCCCTCCTCTTTTGGCCTATCTAGCTAAAACTCACCCTTTAGATTCCAGTTTGAGCTCCCCCTTTCCAGCACTAAGTAGAATTTTTCACCAGTCTTCTCCTCCCCCACCCCCACCCCCACCCCTAACTGTGGATTAAAGTGAAGACTGTAGTCTCAAGAAATAAAGTCCAACTTAGTACCTGGGGGTGTTAACTTTGTGAGTTTTCTCACAAAGGGAAAAGACTTTAATATGTGGCTCCTGTTTTTAAAATGAGGTTTTAGTTATTAATTAATGTCTTTATATTTTTTATTAACAAGAGTTAATATTTGTTGTCTTAATAAGTATTAGCCCTTATTTACTATTTTACTATTGAGCACTTATGTGCCAGGCATATTTTAAGCAATTTACGTGAATTAAACATTTAATCTTCAAAGCCACTCAATGAGGTGCATGCTATTTTTCTCCCTATTTTAGAGACAAGAAAATTGAGAGATTAAGTAATTTGCCTCTGTCTATGAGGCCAGTGAGATGGCAGAGCCAGTATTCAAATCCGGGCTGTCTGATTCCAAATCCTGGACTTCTATCCTACTTACATGTAAGTAAAATTAGAAAGAATTATTAAAAGGCTCACAACAGCAACAGCAACAAAAATCCAGTCAACTCTTTTTTTTTTTATTTAACTTATTGTGGAGATAAAAATGATGCTTTAATGTGCAGAGTTACAGGTTATCATTCTACTAGCATACTAGGGTATCTGTGGGATCGCCTGGATCCCCGTGTTGGGACTCCCTGCTCAGTGGGGAGTCTGCTTCTCTCTCAGTCACTCACTCTCCAATAAATAAATCTTCTAAAAAAATTAAGAATAAAAAATTAAAAAAAAAATCCAGGCAACTCTCATCTCCCTCAGTCCTGCTGCCTCTAGGCAACAACGTCAACCTCTTTTAGGTGTTTTTTGCGGTATTTGTCTTTTGCAATAATATGTATATGCTGCTATTTCTTAAGTTATCAATATTTGATATTATCTACTGACTTCCCATTAAAGGAGGTAAATATTTAGCTCTCTTACACACATTCCCCTTGCTCTCCCTTCTTCTGCCTCCCAATATAATTCTCACATTTTTTGTTTCCATTTTAGTATTTACTTATGATTATGTACATATTGTTTACTGAGGCAAGTATATTGTGAGTCTGGGTAAAATTATTTTAATCATGGAGTTAATAATTAATTCATTTAAGAAAAAGATAGCTTAGTTTTTCCACATATCAGTTCCTATTTCTATATACTCCCACATCTTCTCAGTATGGTTTTTCCACATAATCACACCAATTTATTGGTTTCTTCTGAAGCTCTCTGTCCTCTCGTTCCAATTTGGACTATTGCTTACTAGAGCTGTTCCATAGCAGTTGTTTGGGATTTTTTTTTACTGACATTTCTGATGGAATCCCTATTTCTTAGATACGGATGATTTTATTGTTTATTTACTGTCTCATGTAGATGGACTACATTCCCCAGTAGCTTCTTGAGAAATGGGATTAAGAAATTTGAGATATTACCTGTCAGAAAATCTTTATTCTATCTTCACTTTTTTCCAGCTTATTTTTTAAGTAGTCACTCTCTTCACAGGCTCCAAAATTTTAAAAAAGTAAGGAGGTGTATATGATAAGTCTTCCTTTCATTGTTGCCCTCTGACACCTGATTTTCCTCCCTGTGAGCAAACAATGCTCTGTGTGTGTGTGTGTGTATAAAATATATAATATATATAATTTGCCTACCTAGGACTTCTGATGCAAATTATTTTCTTTGTTTTATTTGAGCTTTTTGACCATGACCTTTGTTTTTCTCAGATATGACCCATTTTTTTTTGAACTGATTAAGACTTGTTGCTGTCATTACCTCGGTCTCCTTCTCATACTCTTACCCTCTATCATGACCTCTGTTAGCATTCATGGCCTCTTGCCCTGTTATTTTAGCTCCAGGTCCTTCTCTGCAGATAATCTAGAACAGAGAGCATTCCTTAGCTGGTCTTTTTCAGCAAGTCAGGAACCCATCTTTACACACTTCACCATTTAACAACCTTCCCAGCCTCCACATCAATTCATTTGCTGAATTCAACTAACCCTGACTCCCAGATCTCTTACCGAACCTCCACACCCCTTCTATTCAATCCCTCACCTGGATTACTTTTAATAGCCTCCTAATCACCTTCAGTCTCCTTTCTGGCTTGCCCCTCAGCCCCCAAAAATCTATATGCAGCACAGCTTCAAGAATAAGCATTTTAAAATTTCAGTTGTGGGATTAGGTCATCACCTTATTTAAAACCCCTCAGGGCCTCTCCCCTTTACCTAAAGAATTAAGTACAAATCCCACAGAATTAGGTATCCCTCTCTTCCCTATATGGAGCTTGGCATTCAGCATTCTCATAGACCTCACTGTGTGGTAACTGACTGTGTATAGTCCTGAGGAAAATTATCCTGTTTGAGGTTGGCTTTTGAGAGAAGAATTAAAGTTTAGTCTGACACTGGTTTATTTCCAACTGAAACATGTATTAATAAGACGTTTTCATTCTTTACCCATGAGGGGTGGGTAATGCAGGAATTTCAGATGGTGACTAGATAAGTGGAGGGATATTGTATGTTTCAAAATAGGTGCAAATATCGCCTAATCTTAAAGGCAGACATTGATTTTATGCCTTTTTTTTTTAATGATGTTACGGGTTTGTGAAGGACTATTTGGTTCTTTTATATCTGGGAATGTGGAAGTTAATGGAGACTGGGTAAGTACAGGGAAATATGTAAATGTTCAGGTTGAAGACTTTTTGGATTTCTAGACCAGGAGTTGGGAAACTACAGCCTTTGGGCCAAATTCTATCCACCACCTGTTTTTGTAAACAAAATTTTATTGGAACTGGCTGTGCCCATTCATTTGTCTATTGTGTATGACTGCTTTTGCACAACTAAAATAGAGTTGAGTAGTTGTAGTAGAGACCGTAAGGTCCACAAAGTAAAACATATTTACTCTTTAGCCCTTTATAGAAAGTTCACCGACTTGTTTTCTAGAGAGGAATGGAAGCTGAAAGGTGGAGGATGAGTACCCATTGAGCTGTAGATAAGCCTGTAGAAAGGTGAATGCAAAGTGATAGTAATTGAGCAGCAAGCAGTCTTCCTCACTTGCTCCCCCATTCCCTTATCCCTTAATATTCTGAGGCCTCAAAAGGGAGAATGAGTGGATAGAAATTGTCTACTAATTGTGAGTTTTGGGACTCCTTCATAAAAGGAATATTCGCTGAACTTACTGTGTGCAATCTGCATGCCTATCCTCGAACTATGTTCCGTGATAAGGCCCAGTATACTCTCCCTTTACTAAGATATTGAGAAAAACATTAGCGAGGGAAGTCCCTGCATTAGTGGGGAAAACAAATCTGTGGTTGCTCTCCTTTGTAGGCTATTAAGATTGGCTCCCTGGTTTCAGTGGAGATGATGGGATCCCATAGTAGCAGAAGACAAGTGGTAGCATTTAATCACCAAAGACAAAGAAGGGATGTATGCAGTAATGGAAATCGGGGACAGAGATGTAATCAGAAGGCACTGTTTTGCAAATGGGATGAATGAAATAGTTGGGCAGTATTACAGTATCACTTTGTGTACGTACCAGAAAAAACTAGGCCTGGGGGCAAAAACATGGACTTTGGTTGCCACAGTTGAGCATCATTACCTCTCCCCCAGTTTCCAAATGTAAGTCACTTCACAGGCCCAGAGCCCTTTGATTGAAGTTGAGGCCTAGTCTTGAGGAAGGCTGCACAATTGCTTCAAGCATTTACCACAGATCTTCCTCAAAAGCCTTCTCCAGAGAGACGTGTAGCCATGCTTTGGGGAAAAGAAAATACTCAGACCTTTCATACGAATTCCTAGGGAGCCAAAATACCACTTGTGGCCCTCTAGTCATAATGGGGAATTATAGTAGTTAGGTAGTAGATGGAGTCTTTGCTCAAGTCTGACTCACAGGAGGCCCAGGTGTCAGCAGATCTACCCTGTGCTTATTTCTCCCATTTCCTTAATGTGTAAGGAAGACATTCTGGATGACTGGCAGAATCCCTATATTGGTTCTCTAAGTCATAGGTTGAGGACCATTGTGATAGGAGAGCTAAGTGGAAGACCTTAGAGCTTCTCTTCCTTCTAAGATAGTAAATCAGAGATAATACTGTATCCCCAAGGGGTTTGTTCAGATCAGTGCCACCCTCAAAGATTTGAAATAAGACTTGAGATATCTATCACATCTCGATTAGCTCACTTATTTGGCCTTTGCAAAAGTTGGATGAATCTTAGAAAATGAATGGACTATTGTAAGCTTAATCACTGGATGATTCCAAATGTGCTTGCTGTCCCAGATGTGATATCTTTACTTGATATAATCAACACAGCCTCTGGCATTTGGTATGTAGCTATTGACTTGGTTAATTGCTTTTTCTCCATACCAATTTACAAGGACCACCAAAGGCAATTTGCTTTTATCTAGCACAGCCAAGGCCAGGTCAGTTCTCCTGTCCCAGAAATCTTAATTATCCCAACAACCCACAAAATATCACATTGATTTACTATGTTGATAATACTATGTTGATTGTATCTGATGAGCAAAAAGTAGCAAGTACCTTAGGTGTCTTTGTCAAGTTTATGAGAACCAGAGGGTAATCAGACCCAGAAAAATTTGGGAGCATTTCAGTAACATTTCTGGGCATTCAGTTGGGTCACTATACTTAATAGACCTTTATTTTTGGAGGTGACATTTTCTTCTCTCCTTCCCATTTTCTTCTTCTTCTTCTTTAAACAAATTATTACATTGAAATTGTTTAATATTAAGTTTATAATTTAGTCTTTAGGTAACAGGATATTAGGTGGGATTGTGACAGAATTTGAAAAGTAATTCAGAATGTCACAGTAATGGATACAATGGCTATCGGCACTCTGCATCTCATTTTGAGGTTTCCTCTTCACTTGTGAGGAGGATGCTTGCATCTTGTTAGGTAGAATATAGAGTTGTTTTGTTATTGTACAAGAGTTCAAATGTGTGAGAAAGTGTGTACATATGGAAACTGAGTAGTCAAAAGGGTAGACTATGCTGTTACCTATTTATTGTCTCTCAGGTCCAAATTTAGTCTCTTCTGCTCTGTAATAATGGAGCAGGGCCCTGTAAATATTTCTCCTTTGCTGACTGGTATTTTTTTTTTTTTAAGATTTATTTTATTATTTATTTGAGAGAGTGAGAATGAGAGAGAGAGAGAGTACATGAGAAGGGGGAGGTTTAGAGGGAGAAGCAGGCTCCTCGCTGAGCAGGGAGCCCGACGCGGGACTCGATTCCGGGACTCGATCCCGGGACTCCAGGATCATGACCTGAGCCGAAGGCAGTCGCTTAACCAACTGAGCCACCCAGGCGCCCCCTGCTGACTGGTATTGATGTTAAGCCTTAACCAGTAGAGGGCACTGGAGGGACACTGGAAATAGAAGGTGCTTCCCTTCCTGGTTTCAGGGTGGCTTCCTGGTTAGGCTCTTTCTGGGCATATTTTTTCTCTCTTTCTCAGCCTCCACATAGTTTTCACTAGTGTTAGGTAATTGTGTGGCGCATCTTCCTCTAGAGTTGGCACACCCCTACCCCCTGCACTTTCTCCAGAGCTTGACTTGGGCAATAGTGTTGTACCCTGGAGTTATAGACATCATGGACCTGTTCCCTTGCCTAAGTCACCGATCCCCACACTCTGTGTTTAGCCCCACACATGCGCACTCTGGGGGCCCCACAAAACTGGGTTTCTAGGGAGCCTGCTGCCCAGATTTTATCCCAGGAACCAGCTTGGCGCCATATTGGCCCAGGCTATACATGAATGTACACTAGACTCTTGGAGAAGACAGCTTCTTAACTCCAGGTGCCATCAGCAACCAGAAGCAAGCAGTTCTCCTCAGCACCTAGCATATTCCAGGGTTTGACACCTCGCTATGACTGGCTTCTTCTGGGACTCCACAGAGGGCAGATTTTTTTGGCAAGTCTCACTAGTGAAACACCTCTGTCACTTTTCCACCATCAGGGAGCCAACACTGTGCTCTGTCTGTAGAGATCTCTGGATCTCAGCGCTGGTGAGGGGAGGGTTCTTCCTTGGGCCCTCATCTCAGCCTTGTGGGTAGTGGTTGCCCCTTATATCTACTACTATAACATTTAGAATTCTCTTTCACTCACTAACCAATTCCCTGTTACTCCAATCCTCTCAATAATAGATTAAACTTTCCTTTTTCAAATCACTATGTAGTTTTTGTCTCCTTACTAATCCAAGAGCCATCAATTATGTTTACAAGGTAAATACACAGAGAAATCTTTTAAAATGTAATCCTTCTGCCCAGGGGAAGTACTAGTTAAGTGGGTAATCTGTGGGACCACTCAAATCACTCCTCAAAATTTCTCTACTGTCTAGTATGTCATAAATTATCAGTATATATCTTTCACAGCTGCAGATTCATTCACAGTAGCTGGAGAGTATGTGAGCTCCCCTTCACCATCATCCTACCCTCTCGCCAAAGTGTATTATAGTTCCATAATTACTTGTTTGCTCCAAACTGTAATGGTAGAATTGGCTGGTCCACAAAATCAAGATCCTGTCTATAACCTTTGACCTTCAAAGATAATATTGTTAATGGAGATGCTTATCTGACCAAGTTTAGCTGAGAAGTTGGATGTTTGGCCACACGCTTTTCTGTATTAAAACCTGTGCCTCTGAGTTGTTGGAGGTCAACTCTGTCACTAGGCTCTTTGTCACATAACCTGCAGATACTCAGAAAGTCATCCTACTCTATGACAATTACATGCAATTAGTTGTCCCCTGGTGGCATTTTCCAGCCAGCTAGAGCTACTCTACTTTGTCTTTAGCTGGGATCTTTGGGATGTTTCTGCCTCCTCCATCTCGGTGCAGTTTGCTTTGCATCAGTGTTTGTCACCTATCATACATCCACAAGTCACTTCCTGCTCAGAAGAATTGCAGGCAAGGATGTGGACATGGACTTAGACATAATCAAAACTAACAAACCACAATAGCAAGTCACTGTGAAATTTGATTTTACCAATGAATACAAGCAGAAATGACTTCCTGCCACTCCTCCCTTCCCTAACCAGCAGATGAGGGCACTTAATAAAATCTCTGCCCGAGCACATAAGGTTTATTATTAGGACAAGTTTTTTGTTGTTGTTGTTATTGTTGTTTTTTAATTTGATTAGGAAATCTAGATGATAATGTGTGGCAGTGATTCAGTATATATTAATTTTGCAGTGCTATACTTTTCTTAATCTACAATCTATGCTACATTTTAGGTATATAGTTTTGTAATTTTTTGCTTTTTGTGATTACCCTTAACTCTTTATATCATGCTTTAATTCTTACAGTAGCAAGCACATTTCATATACCAATTATGCTTTGTGTCAGTTAAAGTCACCTGGAACCAGACCTTAAATCCCTGGGGATGTAAAGGTTTATTCTCTTGAATATAGGAACAAGAAATGGAAAGAACCACTTTCCTCTTATTTTATTAAATGTTACTTTCATGTGCAGTTATGAAATGCTCTGTTTTTACTGTTTTAGAAGATTGCTTCAGTTGGAATTTTTAAATTAAACTAACAGCTTAACTAATGTTTTTGCAATGTGTCCTTTTCCACCTGGAAGGGACAACAGAGACTAAAGATGGATCTTATCTTGATCTTTTCCCATTTGAATCTGCATTTAAACAACATTCTCAGGTGATTAATTGTCACACTAGGGTTTGAGAAACCATAGTCTACATAACTGGTAGGCACAGCTTTGTAGTTGGATTATTTTAATTTGTGGTATTTCAGTTCTTTCTGTTCAGAGAGAAACACATTTTTACCCCTGAGAATAATCCATTGATTTTAACCCAGTCTCACAGACTGTTAGAATAATGCATATTGTTTTAGCCTTATAAAATACCATTTTGTGGATATTTTTATTTATTATTAATGCCCTCTTGTAATGTCTACATATAAACTAGCATATAGATTGATATTCTTTAAGACCAGGGGCCTCTGAATTTTATTGTATTTTTCTAATTTTAGACATTTATACTTTAGAATTTAGAAGGTCTTTGAATTTAATTTTTTCTAGTTTAAAAAACGATTTCATGGTATTCCTATCTCCTGTGAATCTGATGTTTTATAATTAGCAAATGACCATTTTAGATAGGTGTATTTAAGGGTTTAGAAAGTACAATAAGAACAAGACCTTCATCTGCTCGTTTCTATATCCTGAATTTGCTGTTGTGCTGATTTTTTGTTTTTTCATCTCTGAAACTTCTGAGTTTAATTGGAAGTTGATTCTAGGAGAAATTTGTTTTGTTTTACTGGCTGTTTTCACATAGGTCTTCAAATTTGGTAAGTAGTGAGGTCTAGGAACATGATGTTATTCCCAGGAATGGGAATTAAGAATTCTGGTTTTCTTTAACTCATTCATTTATTGTGTTGGATTATGTGTTTTATTGTTCAGAGTATGGGTTTTTCCATCTTTATGATGGGATTAAAATATTTTAAAGATGATTTTACAACACTATAATTAGTAATAAAACCCCAGTGCCTCATTTATATCACCATTAATTTCTAAGCCTTTTCAGGAAACTTTGGGCCATTCATGCTTTGGATTTCATCTAATCTATCTAAGTCAAAATAACTTTTGGTCATTTTATATCAAGAATCTATTTTGGGGATGCCTGGGTGGCTCAGTCAGTTAAGCGTCTGCCTTCGGCTCAAGTCATGATCCCAGAGTCCTGGGATCGAGCCTCGCATGGGGCTCTCTGCTCTGCAGGAAGCCTGCTTCTCCCTCTCCCACTCTCCCTGCTTGTGTTCCCTCTCTCACTGTGTCTCTGTCAAATAAATAAAATCTAAAAAAAAAAAAGAATTATCTAGAGAGCCTAAAATAACAACAAAAGCAGGCCCTATGTATGCCTTGCCCCTGGAACAATTAAATCATACTCTCTAGAGGGGAAGCCTAAGGCACTCTTTTTAAAAGAGCTTTCTGCTAATGTGTATCCAGAGTTGAAGACCGCTGATAGAGATGCTTAATGTTGAGTGTAATTTTCATTAATGGAATCCTGATACTGCACAATAGCAGCAAAGGACAGAAAAGTCATATAAAAATCCCTGGGAGATTTATGTTGGAATCTTCAAATGATCAGCAATTGATAAAAGACTATTCCCTTCTGAAATAATCTGAAAAGAGGAAAGCATCCTGTTCCTACATTAGTAGACTGTGCTACTGAAAGGACTCAATCTGTTAATCCTCCATTGTTAAAATCTACAATCTCATCCTCAATCTTTATTTCTAAAAATACGCTCTGAAAACAGTTGTGTGGGTTTGTTTGTTTTTTTTTTTTCCTTTTTAACTCATTTGTCCAGAAAACCTTACCTGATATGAAGCTATTTGTAGTTCTTTCCTTAGGTTTTTCCTTTATCTCCTTACATTTAGACTATCAATTCTTCTTTAAAAAAAAAATTATTTATTTTAGAGAGAGTGCACGCAAGCAGTGTTAGGGGCAGAACGAGAGGGAGAGAGAGACTCCTCAAGCAGACTCCCCTCTGAGTGCAGAGCCTGACTCAGGCCTCTGTCCCAGGACCCCAAGATCACAACCTGAGCCGAAATCAGAAGTCAGCCGCCTCACTGATTGAGCCACCCAGGTGCCCCTAGATTGTCAATTTTTGACCCTTAAAGATCTTATTTCAGATAAGTTAAAAAGCTCAGTAATTTAGTTCAAATTTGAACACATTTGGGAGAATGCTACCTTTCCACTTAAACAAATGGCATTCGCCAAGCCCCTTAATCAGTTTGACATTCAGTATTTGTCAGTAAAATGGGAATGACTTCACAAGATTGTTGGAGGACTAAATGAGAACCTGTGTAATGTTAAAATATCAGGGACCTAATCAACATTTAACAGAAGTGAATTATTGCTTTATTATTTCTAATAATAAATGAAATCTTGGTCCTTCTTTCCTTTTCCAGTCAAACCTATATTGGGTGTTCACTGTGTCACCAACATTCTGGTAAGTGCCAGAAAAACAACCATGAATGAGGGAGACACTATCTGTATCCTTCATGAGTTTTCCTTGACTCCCTCATTGGAGACATCCTAAACTAAAACCTACTAATTGAGTGACGTCTTTAGATACACACACACACACACACACACGATGATAGGATTATTTGTCCGATTGATGAAGGACTTTTCTAGTTTATAATTTATTCCTAAAAAAAAAAAAAAAAACCTTTCTTCCAACCACCTCATTAATTCCATCCTTCTTTCTCATTCCCGACCCTACCCACAAATATGACTTCTGGCATATAATATTTTGGGAAAACCACCATTGTTATAGAAGTATCTAGTTCTGTCATCTCCCTTTACTCTGTACTTTCCCTGAACCCTTTCCTGATTTACGTGTTGTTAAAACATCCTAAGAAGACCAGCTCATTCCTTCTCAAATTCCTAATCTAGCTTATATCTGGCTTCTCAGGAGATCTAATATCACTAGCAGCACTGGAGAAGGGGACTTTTGGTGGTTGACTCAGGGACAGGAAGGAGGGTGAACATAGGTTGATTTATATCTATTTATCAAACTGTGATTAAAGGTGATCAGGTAGTATTTCATAGGTGACCATTATCCTATGAAGCCTCAACTTTTGCCTGTTCTTACCTTCCTAGAACTTCTTAGATCAGGTTGTTGCCCTATTATTCTGAATGTACCCTAGATCCTAAGCCCTAGATCTTGGAGGCAGGACTATAACTAGTCTAGTGGATTCTCTGCCAAGGTTCATTCCTGGTTTTGCACTAAAGCCCATTGGACTAGGTCTAGTGCAGTTTACTTTTAAAGATGAACCAACTGTCAAAGAATTAACATCTCTCAAGGGTAAACTGCAGGTTGTAAAATCTATATCCACATGACATGGATACTTTATCTGTTAACCTGTTTTCCCTTGACTGTCCTCTATTTTGTTTTCATATTCCCCCTGATCTATCTTTCCAGTTTATCCTTTTTCCTCCCACCCCTTAAATGTAGCTATTTCTTTGGCCTCTTTACTGTATATACTGTAGGTGAACTCTTCAGTACCCCAAGACTGACTCCCACATTTTCATCTCTAGCACAGAACTTTTCCCTGATTTTCAGTCCTATGTATCTTTTTGCTCATGAGAACTCACCTTGGAAGTCCTATCAGCATCTCAAATTTGTCTCCCAAACTGAACAAATTATCTAATTCCCACCCCAGGTCTACCCTTCTTCCTATATTCCCTGCCTTTGTTAATGTCATCACTTCAGCCATCCACCTTCCATTCTCCCTTTCTTTCACCAAGTCCTATTTGATTCTACTTCCTGTACTCCTGAATTAGTCCTCTCCATCCTTTCTACCTTCCTCATTTCTTTGATATTCATCACCTTTACTGGTGCTGAGGAACCTGTGACTTATCTAAAACATAAATATGATTATGATTCTTCCTTAATATAATCCATTTCCTTCCACTCCGAACAAAATTGGTGGATTCCAGACTCACTTTGTGTGCTAGTCTTTAAGTGACCTCCCAGCATCCCCTCCTGCTATTTCCTATCTGTGTCTTTCACTTGGACTGCCCATGTCTTGTCTTGCTTTTATGTCTTTGCATCTGTCATTCTCTCTTTCTCTTCTCTCTTGTCCACCTGCCTAAAAATTGCTTATCTTTCAAGATTCTGCTCATCAGTGTTATCTTTGGCAAAATTTCCCTAACATTTCTCCTTACCTGCCGTATTGCTTTCAGTCTTCCATCTTAGCACATGTTTTATGGTTGCACGTTGGCATGCCATATTTCCTACTAGTCTCTGCTCCTTGAAAGTAAGAGTTATCTTTAATTTGGTAGCCAGAGCCTAGCACAACATTTGATACGTAAGAATTTACACAGCAACATTTGTGTGGTTCTGAAACTATTTATATTATGTCTTCAAATAATGTAAAAAGCTAACCAGGTCATTTTAATTCTTACATGCGGCTCTTGAAGTAACCCAAATTCAGTAATACTGAAATCTCATTTTTATGAGCAACATACATTATAATTGAGTTATCTTTTGAAGCCAAAGTGTCTATTCCATACATAAATACATACATACATACATATACATCTTTCCAAATAGAGGTAGTATATAGAACTAACTATTCAAGTTCTGCGTATTTTATTTATTTAGCTTAAAATGTCTTACTAAAGGCCAGAGAATCCATCTTAGAACTTGGCTTTTTAATTTTAAATTTAGCAATATCTTTGGAAGAGAAACTGAATAAAGTGTCAAACGTAGTTTTCACTTCTATAAATTAAATTTGACTTAAAACATGTTTAGGATTTAGGGAAAAAGTCATTTTCCTTCCCCTTTGCCCCTGCAAATAGGATTGAGTATAATGGTGCATGGTATGTAATTATATACTGAAACCCCTTCCTATTGCCTTTTTTAAAACTTCATCATAAAGAAAATCAACCCTCACTGTGACTCAGGCTGTCATCAAAGTTCTCTTTTTTCTTTTTCTTTTCTTTCATTTTTGGTGGCCCATATTAGAGTTTAATAAACATGTTGCTCTGTTCTTAGGGTCAACTGCAAGCAGTATTTTATTAAACCAAATACTGCTTTTGTAACTCAATGATCTTTGTTGCCTTTTTAGAGTCACTTCAAGTAAAGCTTAGTGCCATCTTCTTTTTGCTGTTAGATTTTGTATTTGTGTGAGTTGTTGAAAATAGCTGTGGTTAAAGAAAAGAAAAGAAAATAGCTGTGGTATAAAAATGCAATAGATGCTCTTAATTTTCTAGTCTTTATTGGCTCTGTCAGGATTCACAAGTATTATCAGGTAAACAAATTTGAGAGCATGCCAGTTTATAATCTTAACTGATTCATTTGGAGTAGAGGTTCATACATTGAGGGCAAATTCCATAAAATAAAAGCCACTATTTTAGATGTATGCCTAACAGTCCCTATATACCTTTGCTTTCTTATGGATTTCACCCTTTCTTTATAATCAATTCAATGAAGTCTTTTGGCCCCTTGGTCATTGAGTTAAGATACCTTTTTAAAAATTCTCTAAATTTGTTTATAAAAATAATTGTGTGCCGATCATATAGTAAATATTAGCCACAGCTTACAAGGTATTTTTTTTTTTTTTTTTACTGGAGGGAAATCCCTAATGTTTTATAGCCTTAATAGATTATAACTAATTATAGCAATGTGTTCTTCCAAAAGTGTAATTTCTTGAGGGCAAGATATTTTTGTATTTTTGTTAACCATAAGAGTACGTTATTTATACCTTATGTTTAGTTGTTGCTTGAATGAATGAATTGACCCCTGCCTATAGGAATGAATAGCTACTAATGCCATTTATCATTTCTGTTTATAGGTATTATCATTTAATGAAAGCTTCTTGCCAGCAACTCTATGATAAAAAATATAAGTAACAGAGGAAACTATAAGTTATTTGTCAAGTGGCAAGCTTTTAATGTCAGAATGGCTCACATAAAGCGACTAGTAAAATTACATCTTAAAAGACATTATCATAAAAAGTTCTGGAAGCTTGGTGCAGTAATTTTTTTCTTTATAATATTTTTGATTTTAATGCAAAGAGAAGTAAGTGTTCAATATTCCAAAGAGGAATCAAAGATGGAAAGAAATATAAACAAAAACAAGATGTTTGATTTAATGTTAGAAGCTGTAAACAATATTAAAGATGCAATGCCAAAAATGCAAATAGGAGCACCTGTCAGGCAAAGCATTGATGCTGGTGAGAGACCCTGTTTGCAAGGATATTATACAGCAGCAGAATTGAAACCGGTTCTTGACCGCCCACCTCAGGATTCCAATGCACCTGGTGCTTCTGGTAAAGCATTCAAGACAACCAATTTAAGTGTTGAAGAGCAGAAGGAAAAAGAACGTGGAGAAGCCAAACACTGTTTTAACGCTTTTGCAAGTGACAGGATTTCTTTACACCGAGATCTTGGACCAGACACTCGACCTCCTGAGTATGTTGAAGAATATTCATTGTTTACTGTTTAACATTAGGGTTTCTGGGGAGGGGCATTAACTAAGGAATGTGCTTGTTCTTCAGCCACACTGAGGCAAATATCAACAATTGCTGTTTAATTTGTTTAATTATGTTTTTGTTTAGTATTGAGGCCAACCATATCTGTGCTTGGTGAGGCATTGCAGACATGAAAAGTTGTTACCTTACAAATTGGAAAACTTAAATTTTAGATCTGACTTCTGTAGAACCACAAAGAAATCCTTTATTCTTAAATGCTTTAGTTTTCTAATCTATTAAGTAGGGAATATGGGGCCGTTTTTATGGGAAATGTGGGAGGCGGAGGAGCTGTCTCGGTTCCTCTGTGTATTGCTATAGAATAAATAGAAATGTTTAAAAAAGTGCCAAGACTTTGGAGCTATTAGATAAGAATATTCTATGAACTAAGTCACAGACTTTGTGGCTACTTTCAGCACTGTAATTGTATTTCACAATGCCCTGTAACCTTTTGTAACCTTTCTTTTAAGGAACAATATTGTTAAATTGCTAATTCAATTATGATTTTTTTTTTCTCCAGAGTTTTGTTGAGTATCATATGTATAGAATTGTCTCCCTGTAACTTCTGAGAGGCCAACATTGCTTTTTGTGTCACTTTGTTTACATGTTATCTCAAGTACACAGTATTTTTACTATGGTTTCCCTCCAGATCCTACTATGCTCTCCTTAGTTAACCATTTTGTTCTCTTTGAGGTTGTGTTCAAATGCTCTATTTGAATTCAAATAGGCTAAAATAAATTCCACCACTTTCAAACCACCGTTGATTGGTTGAAAGTGTAAGATAGACAAACTGCAAGCAAGCGATGCCTACATATTTGCTTTCTGGTTATGATAGAATTATATTTGGAAGTGAATCTGAAGAAAAGAACTTTTATAGACTTAAGTCTATGGCTTCACTCATATTTTTCTAGAGTTATGATCACAAATACCTGTTCTAACTATGAATCACTCAATATTGAAGTTGTGTAGATTAGACTTCTGTCTCTCTATTCTAATCTGTGTGATTCAAAGTTAAGGTGCTCATCATTTTTAAATGAATGTGTGAAGAAACAAATGGATGTCTGTAAAATATTCTACCTTCATAACAAGGCACAGAATAGTTCCTTTCTTATGTTAATAGTTAAAATGCAGTATTGCATTTGACTGATTTGGAGAGAGGTCTTGACTAAAAAGCAATCCACATCACAAATCAAGAAGCATAATTTTTATTCTTTGATGTGACAGTCAGTGTCAGCTCAAGATAAGTTTTTCCCCCCAGTATAGCATTAAGGAGCTACAATAATATTCACTAATGAAATTATTGTAAGTGAAAAACAACTAAGCACTCAAAAGAACCTTTTTTGGATAGGAATTGGATACCTAGAACTGTGAAGAACTGGTGAAGATTTAACACTTTCTTACTTTAAATTTAACCTATATCAGCAAGGAACACATTTTCTGAAGAATTGCTGATCTTTTCCATGCTCATTAAAAATATAGATCCAGGGTCTCCCAAAGGCAGATGTTCATGTAATAACTTAAGCACATATCTATATGTCAAATTTTACAAATGGTTTGACTGGCAATACGCAGTCAGTTTGGTAAGTTGTTTGATTTCACTACTTTAAATGACGTGAAAAAATTTCTAAAGCATAAGTTTAACATACTTTTTTATTGTTTCAGAATAATTGGGGTTTATAAAATCATACTGTGAAATTTTATTATCACTTGCATTAATGTTATAACATGACACCTTTACTTGGTATTAGTAGTTATCAGTTAAGCAGATAAATCCTAGCTTAAGCTGAGGGAAAGCCTTGTAAGATTAAAGTGATCAGATTTTATTTATGAGAATTTTTGTGAGGTTTTATATTTAAAATTCCAAAACCTTTTTGTAATTCTCAATTAATATTATGTTTATTAGTCCCATGACAAGTAAATGTAGGGAAATTTTTTTTTTAATCCCCAAACTCCTCCCCAAAATGCTTATAAGACAATTAAGTCATAAGGTTTTTTTTTAAAGGAAAATAGTATGGAGTTTTTAATAATTTTTACTTTTAGTTTATGTTGGTTTGTAAACCTTTATGTCTTAAAAATACAAGCTTATATTTAGTCATTTGTTTCTGTGTAATTGTGAGTCAAGAGTAATTATGAATAGGTAGTTTGTGTTTGGACTTTATTTCTAATTGGTAGTTTATCCAAAATTCAATCTAAAATAAATGGTTTGCTTTCATCTGTCAGTGAGGATGAATGTGATTATTTGCTTCTGATTATGCATATATATTTGAAATCATGAAGGCACAAGAGAGCAAAATCACTTTCACTTATAACTTTCCTCTCCTTTTCTTACTCAGCAGTGTTGACACACTCTGTTAATACTCTATCCTCAATCTAATTCTTTTTTTATCCCTACAAATATTCCACCCTAAAGACCTCTTCTCAGAAAAGGATCTGAAACACATTCATACTGAGGTATGGCTATGAAAGTGATTCATGAGAATTTATAGGGTATCTCTCTTAGGGTGGCTTTCCCAGGCCTCTGGTATCATACTGGGGGCTCTGGTTTCTCCACGGACCCTCACAGAGTATTTGAAGCGTGCTAGACTCTTATCTCCATAAGTGAATGATTTACTTCTTTATCTTTGGGTTTGAACAGCACTGTTTGATTGTTCACACACTGTATTTGTGGTGCCTTTTTACTGTGTGGGAGGATTTTATACTCTATTGTCTAAAATTGTACAACCATTTATGATTTTTAAGTGAACTTAAAGATAGTTATTTTCTTTATTTATCTTTACCATAGACCACACATCTTTTGTGTCCCGGGGTCACTTTGTTTGGTTTTACGGTGGTCTGAAGCCCTCTACTATATGTTGTATCTTTTGATCCCCACCTCAACTCAGTAGGCAAGGGACTGTGGTCAGCTTCAGTCTCCAAGCCTGGAGACCGTACAGATCCACCCACACCTAACGGCTTCACATGAAGATTATTTTCATTGAGGAAGATGTTATTATAAAAATGAATTCAAGATTAATTTGTAACTAATGTGTTTAACTAATGGGTAGTACCATTAATCAGCCAAAAACTACTTCTCTCCTTGTGCCCATAATGTTTCATAAGGTAACAGGATCGGAGGACTTTTTAACGTGGATTTAGGATTTTTATTTAAAATTCTTAAGTTTAGTATTTTAAAATGCTAGGTCTTATTTAAATAAACTGTGGATCAGATTATTGGAGCAAAATCTTTAACACAGCATGGCATATGGTAGCAACTTAATAAGTCTTGCTGAGTCATAAACACCATAAAAAATAGATTTTATGGTAAGCCATTTTTTCCCTTTTGGTTCAAGTATAGATTAAGTAAATTGATTTTAAAAACATGAGAAATATTACATAGGAAAATAAGAATCTCTGCAAAGATAAATATTCATTTAATAAAGTTGCACTGTTTAAAAAATTGCAAGTAATAAGAAAAAAGGATGATTTCTACAAGGAAGGAGAAAAACTTGGTTTTTATTTGAGCTATTACAAGTATTTTCCATTTTTACAGGTTTGTGTCACTTGTAGGTTATTTTCCCTTTTTGAAATGCTATTTGTGTTTTATATTGTTGAGAAAACTTACAATAGCATATTTTAATCCTTGACATGTAATCTGTGTCAGTGGACATGATCTCTGTGTAAAAAAATTTGTTGTGATCTATTTATATTTCCATAGCATTAAGATCAACTTACATAGAAAAAATTTGTCCACTATTGTTCCTATGGTGATAAAGGTTAAATAATGATAATTTTAGTAATGACATAGCTGTGAAATAAAGTAATAAAATTCGTAATTGTTCTTCTACTTCTTTGACTTCTTCTAGATGTATTGAACAAAAATTTAAGCGCTGTCCTCCCCTGCCTACCACCAGTGTCATAATAGTTTTTCATAATGAAGCCTGGTCCACGCTGCTTAGAACTGTCCACAGTGTGCTTTATTCTTCCCCCGCCATACTGCTGAAGGAAATCATTTTGGTGGATGATGCTAGTGTAGATGGTAAGAAAGCACATGAAAATTAGATTGTTTCCCAAGTAAATCCCATCTGATGTTGTCCAAAGTCTATTTTATTATATTGTACTTTCTGTATGCCACCTCAGAACTTGAATATAATACCTTGAATGGTAGGTATGGATGAAAGGAGAACCTAAGTGTGTCCATATTTAAATATTTTAGAGTTCAGAAATGTATGAAGTACCATGATTCATAACTTTGTAGTCCTCGGTGTAAGACTTTTATTGTAAGGCATCGTGGTTAAGAACACAAACTTGAGCCTTGAGTGAGGCTGCCTTGGTTTGAATCCCAGCTCTGGTCCTAACCAGCTATGTAACTTGGGCAAATTACTTAATTCCTCTATGTCTCAGTTTCTTTCTCAGTAAAATGGGGAAAATGCCATATTCCATCAAATGTATTGTATGATACATCATTAGTTTATTTACCACTTGAATAAAAAACCCTCACAGACAATTAAACAAAGATGCCATTGATTATAAGAAGTTTCCAATTGTGCAGCTTAGAATTGAGGAAATACATAAGTAGTGCATAACTCCTAGGGTTGTTTTGAAGATTAGATGAGTTAATATAAATAATATATTAATAATATAAACGAGTAGTTAAAAATCATTAAAGAGTCGCTACATTCTGTTTTACTTTGGCTGCTAAATATGCCAATATAGTTTACAAAGTTAGCTAAATTCTTTAATGCATTTATACTTAAAATTACCAGTCAATTGTCAGGTCCTAAATTATACATTTTAAATTGGAATCACAAAGCTAATCAGACAAATACCCTATGTTGCTAAATTTTCAAACATTACAAGTATTTTAAATATCAGTCAGATACAGATTATTTCAATGATCACAGAATTTATTCCTGAATGAGTTGAGTTTGGATCCAAATTCTTTAAGGTCAAATTCCAACTCTAATACTAATTAGCTGTTTCCTCATCTATAAAATGGAGATAGTAATACTCTTTCATCAAATCCAAAGCAACATCTATTTTAAGATAAACCATTACTTTACGTACTATGAAAAAAGAAAAAAAAATACTGCTTGTTAAGAGACATGTCATCAATAACAAGATTTATCCAGACTTAAGAAATGATAATAAGTGAATAAAACATAAAATTATTAACCGGGCTTATTTAATTATTTCTACATACAATCCTAAACATTTCTATAATTTCAAAATATCAGTGAATTGAGATTATGTTTTGAAGTTACATTAACATCTAAGTGGAATAAGGTTGCTTATCACCAGAGATTTTTGACCTGGATGTGAAACCAATTCACCAAATGGGCAAGTTTTATAATTCAAGTCTCCTCCTCATGGGTAACACTACATACAGATCTCTGACTTGAATTTCCAGTCCTCCTACCCAGGTTATATCACCACTTAATTGTAATCAACTAATTTATTTACTGCTTAAAATGTTCAGAATTTTTTCTGATTCTTTCTACTTGGTCTGCAGTCCATAGAGTTTTAAGTGACATTTAATTAAGTTCTGCATGTCTCTCATAGGGTTTGTCGTTAAAAAAAAAAAAAAAAAAAAAAATCCTGCTCTGGTTTTGTGAGCTTTCTTCTCAGATGATTTTTATTTTGTTTGATTTTTCAAGCAGTGAGAAATCGGGGCCACAATAAGGCTACTTGTAGTAAGCCTTCAGTTGAAAGTAACTTCTATTATTTAATTGTACAAATAAAATTAATAGATTTAAAGGAAATCAGAAAGAAAAGTAGGGGCCCTGGGTGGCTCAGTTGGTTAAGCATCTGCCTTTGGGTCAGGTCATGATCCCAGGGTCCCGGGATTGAGTCCCGCACCCCGCTCCCTGTTCAGCGGAGAGTCTGCTTCTCCCACTGCCTCTCCCCCTGCTTATGCTCTCTCTCTCTCTCTCTCTCTCTCGTGCTCTCATGCGTGCACACGCGTGCTCTCTCTCTCAAATAAATAAAATCTCTTTTTAAAAAAAGTGATATCCAATCATAATCTTCCTATTTCATTTTAATTTTTCTATTTCTCTCTTAATCACTGTCTAAATAAACATGTTTATCTAATTATATCCATGCCAGAAATCAATTTTGAAATCTGACGTTTTCATATAATATTATTATTAGCCCATTTCTTTCACCTTCAGAACTTTATTTTTGGTGACCATGATGGACCATTTTACTTAACCATTCACTTTTATTCACTCTACAGTGTTTAATGAATATCCTTGTGCTTGTGTTATTTTCCTCCATTTGAATTGTATCTTTGGGTAAGTTAGACTGCTTGGTCAAAGGGCCTGGATATATATATATTTTTTAAGATTTTATTTATTTATTTGAGAGAGAGAGAAGGAGAGAGCATGAGATGGAGGGAGGGTCAGAGGGAGAAGCAGACTCCCTGCTGAGCAGGGAGCCCAATGTGGGACTCAGTCCTGAGACTCCAGAATCATGACCTGAGCCAAAGGCAGTGGCTTAACCAACTGAGCCACTCAGGCACCTGGTCCTGGATATTTTTATAATTCTTTATAATAATTAATAGTTTTCTTGGTGAGGGATATCTTTGCATACTAATGTAATTAATTTGTCTTACTGAATAAATGGTCTATCTAATGATGAGTACCCACTATGGAAAATGTGTCCCTAGTCACTGTAAAGGAGTGTGTGAGGTAGAAATGATAATCCCTGATTTCAGTTGGTTTAGGGAAGAGCAGCAAAAATATGTGGCTAATCAAGTGACAAAGATAGGTAAGTCCCAATGATAGTAAAACAAAAGATAATCAACATTGTCAGAGCTTAGGTCACGTGGTAAGCCCTGTCTTAAATGCTTTATTTGTATAGTAATTTTTCATTTTATCCTCCCAGCAATCCCCTGTGAGGGTGTTATTATCCCCATCTTAGAGATAAACTGAAGTACAGGTAAAATAAAATAACTTACCTAAGGTCACACAGCTAAAAGTAATGGTGCTCTAAATAGATAAACCCAGGAGAACGGATTTCACAGCTTTGTGCTCTTAACCTCACAAAAAGATGGGTATGGATGGGGACTGAATTTAAGGGGCAGATAAAAATGTATAGGAAGTTCAGAAGTTGTGGGTAAATGAAAAATTCCTTAACAAATCAAACAGTGAGACAGTTTACTGAAGGAATCTGTAGTGACTCCATTAAAAAAAAAAAAATCCCCATTTAGACCTTTGAAATGTTTTTATATAAGTTTTTATTTTACAAGTCAAATCTATGGTTAAAACAGGAATATCCATGATTTATATTTTAAGATAAATTACAATCCTGCTTGTCTTTCAGAGAATGAATTCTGAGGTACCTGAGAAGGCAGTTAAAAAGTTAGTCTGTTACTCTGTGGCAACAGTGTTTAGATTTATTTTCCACAGAAGTTGTTCCTGGACTCTCACCTTCTTTATGAATGTTTAAGCTTTGAATAAGCAACTCATTTATCTGTACCACTGGAGAATAGGAAAAAAAACAAAAACATAATCACAGATGAAGTCATCTGTGCTTGCTTCTGAAATCTGGCAGAAGCAAACATCTACCCTAGGACATTTATTGATGTTCTCAGCATTCCCAGATCTTTTTGAGGCTGTACTATGAGCCTAAGAAGGCTACCTGAGGAACTATATTATATACTCAACAAAAAATCATGAATTTAATGGTGAAAAAGCAGACTTAAGAAGTTGTTTCACGATATGAGCAACACCTGACTGATGTGATTAATGTGTCTTCTTTTATCTACTGTTTTAACTCTTGCTTATCATGTCTCTCATCCAAATTGGAATGAATATCTTAAATTATATACCCATTAACAAGATTTAGCCTGTTTTTAGCTTCATTCCTCACCTACATCCTCCCTTCTTCTGTCATATTTTTACTGGAAAAAAAATTGTGTGTCAGGGGACTCCAAAGCTTTCAAAAATTTTATGCTGACTCTGTAAAAATATTCCCAAACTGCGATAGCCTTGGACTTTCCTATTTGCCATTTTCCTTAATGTTTTGGTTTTAAATTATTTTATCACTGCCTAAGTATCAGAATCCTTTTGATACTTGTCATTTTTCTTTAAATTTCCAGATTTAAATCCCAATTTTAAAAAAGTGTCAAATATGTTTTTGGCCAAATTCAGTTTCCCTCACTCCCTTAGCTAATGTTCTTAGACCCCTAAATGAGTCTTCTTAACTCCTGAGGTCTACTCCATTTGAAGTCTCTGCTTTCTCCCAAATATATTTATTGATATTTCATGTACAGGAGAAGTCTGTGTTAAAACATTTTGTGTTATAGTAGTTCAGAAGTTAAGATTTGCATATATAGCTATATTTTTTTTCATTAAAGAGCTAAATATACAATTTTCATCCTAATGGAAGAGTGTGTGCAATTGTTAAGACAACAAATGTGGCGATATCATTGCTCTGTGGTTTTTTTTAATTAGCCTTCATGTGTTATATATGAATATAAACTTAGGAAGAATTAATCCTGATTTTTTTTTCTTACAGAGTACTTACATGATAAACTAGAAGAATATATAAAACAATTTTCTATAGTAAAAATAGTCAGACAAAGAGAGAGAAAAGGTCTGATCACTGCAAGGTTGCTAGGAGCAACAGTTGCAACAGCTGAAACACTCACATTTTTAGATGCTCACTGTAAGTATATATGTATAGACATAGTTGTAACATTTTCCCTCTGCTTCCCTCCAATTTAAAAATTGAAGACGACTTTTCTTTAAATGACTAATTGTATTTTCTTTAACATCATTTTCAACTGGTGATTATAGCAATGATGGCCGAAGCAGATTACAGCTCTGGGTAGGAACCTCCTTTAACTTAATGGAGTTCTTACCTCCTCTGTGTTTTAGGCTCCTCAATTCCAGTATCCTTCAGTGACCAACTTCCCCAGCAAGTTATCCTTGCCTGGGCTTTTTTTCAAATGCTCATTCTGTCAAAAAAAAAAAAGAAAAAAAGTTTTTCCTTATTACTGTTGATTCTTAACAGTTTAAAATGAATGAAAGTTTTGTCCTGGTCCTGATACTTTCAATTTCTGTATTTTAGTTCTTTTTTCAAAGATTTGCAGACTCCTCTTGTGCTGTGTTCCATCCTCTTCTGGCATTTTAAAATGAATATTATCAATTTTTGTTTTATTGCTACTGTTTTTTTCCCTTTTATTTTTAATGGTTTTGTTCTCCAGTGTCAATGACTTTAAAGAAAGTATATAGAATTTTTAGAGCCCATGTTTAAAGTACATGTTAGGGAGGGGCGCCTGGGTGGCTCAGTCATTAAATGGCTGCCTTCCTTAGGCTCTGGTCTTGATCCCAGGGTCCTGGGATCTAGCCCCGCATTGGGCTCCCTGCTCGGCGGGAAGCCTGCTTCTCCCTCCCCCACTTCCCCTGCTTGTTTTCCCTCTCTCCCTCATTCAAAAAATAAATAAAATCTTAGAAAAATGAAAAAATTAAAAAAATTAAAAAAATAAAGTGCATGTTAGGGATTACTAAAATGTCACTTAGTCCCTCAGCTATAAATTTAGTTGGTTATACTCTTTGTATGAGCATTTAGTTTTGAATTGAATTGACTAGCCCTTAGATTATGTTTGACCCGGCAAATGGTTTTGGTTATATGCTAATTGTTACAGAGGGCTTTTGGATTTGCTTGAGTCTCTTTTGAGCTATCATATCCAGTACTTTCTTAATACCTGGCTCTTAAATGAAGAGAGAGATGTTTAAAAAAGGAAATGGTTCATTCTCCAATATTTCCTCTCCTGGTCCAAAATTACAATTATGTCAGACTGGGCATTCTTCCAATCAGGCAAATGTATTTGATGGATCTCCATGATACCAAGTGGTCCTCCTAATAACTGCCAAACTCTGCCTGATGGGGAAGCCTGGGTAGGACTGAATCTCCCGAATTCTGTGTGTTAAGTGAGCCTGGCCAGGCCAAGATTTTTTTATGGCATTCCTTTGCCCCCACTTTCCATTAGGGCTGGGGCAGGTTTGAATGGTCCTTCTCCAACTGCTGAAATCAAAATATTCTGACTCCTTGACTTATTTTCTCCTAAAACTCAGTCAGAGAAATGACGATTTTGGTTACTACACCTTACTCAGGGAGAGTTTAATAAATCAGAACACTTATGGGTTTAGGTGGCATGGATCAGCAAGAAGTTACGTTTGATTCATAGCTCGTTTCAGAGGGAAACACAGCATCTGAAACTTAAATACTCCAGTGTCATTTTACTTCCTCACTAAGGTAAAAAAAAAAAAAAAAAATCATCTCCTGTATACAAACTTTCCGAACTATGCTGAATCTTGCTTTACCCTCATCGCATCACAAGAAACCTTTAAGAAATCTCCTCGATGTTAAATGTTCAAAACACAATTGACTATTATTCATTTCTCTAAACTGTCTTCAAAAAACAAAGGAGAAAACCCTCAGTGTTTTCATTGGATTGATTAGAATTATGTTCCTTTCAGGTGAGTGTTTCTATGGCTGGTTAGAACCTTTGTTGGCTAGAATAGCCGAGAACTACACAGCAGTTGTGAGTCCGGATATTGCATCCATAGATCTAAACACGTTTGAATTCAACAAACCTTCTCCTTATGGAAGTAATCACAACCGTGGAAACTTTGACTGGAGTCTTTCATTTGGCTGGGAATCGCTTCCTGATCACGAGAGGCAAAGAAGGAAAGATGAAACCTACCCAATTAAGTAAGATGATTGTTCTCCAAGTCTTATATGCAGTTCAGTTATTTAAACATGTAATCACTCTTTGTTTTTTACAGTTTTTGCCTCCAAGGTAATTCACACTAACGAGATAAAGAACATACACATTCTATGTAGGGAATAAAAAGCCATTTATATATATATTTACGCATGATATTACTGAGTAGGAAGTAGAAGTAAGCGAGGTCTTTAGTCTTCCTCATAATCATACTTCAGAATCTTTAGGCTTGGTTAGAAGACACTTCATAATTTTGTTCTGCTGGGAAAAGGATATTTAAACTACTACCCTTCACCCCCACAAAACTTGACTCTGAAGATAGCATTTTTAGTTTTTATTAACCTATGTAAAACTTTTGAAATTGTGATCTCTCTTTAATTTGTTTGGGAATTTGATTCAGTTGCTCTTTAAATAAGTTCTTCTTTCTTATTTAATTTTTATAACGAAGTTTGACAATGGATTATTTTTCAGAACACCCACTTTTGCAGGAGGCCTTTTTTCCATATCAAAAGAATATTTTGAATATATTGGAACTTACGATGAAGAAATGGAAATCTGGGGAGGTGAAAATATAGAAATGTCTTTCAGAGTAAGTTTATAAATATAGTACATATTAAACAGTAAAATACACATTTTGTTCTAATTGGCTGATACAGATTATCATAGATGTGTGCAGTCTTTACTTTTTGTGCTTTCTAAAATTTAATTGCTAGAAATTTTAGAATAAGGGTATTTCTTTTAAAATGTAACTCATTGCTGCCAATGTAACAAGAGGAATCAGTTAAACGCCTGTGTTCAGCCAATAGCACCAATTAATGCACTTGTAGCTATTGAATTCCAGCCAAGATAAATATAATTTAATCTAGTGCTTCAGGAAATGAGTTGATTATCAAGGGAGTCAGAATGGAAAAACATTTGTGTATAATTTTAAAAAGACATTAACTCTTTGCATTAAATGAGCTTTTTTTTTTCCTATGCATATTAAAAGTTAGTATGAGAAACAAAACAAAAACTTTGGATGGTCTCCACGTACACTTATTTGATTTCATGAGTTCATTTTCTGCAATGACCCTGTCATTCATTTTTCATCTTTTAGACTGGAATGTAGTGGGAAAAGAACTGAACTAGGAGTTAGAAGATTTAAGTTTTAGTTCTGGCTTCATCACATAATGGCAATGATGGTCTTAGCCAAATTTGAACTGCTCAAGGGAGGGCCTTTTTTTATTCATTTAAGTATTCCCAACCCCTAACACATGTTAGATTTCAGGCACAATTTGTTGAATTAAATATACCACTGAGTTTTCTCATTTGTTTAAAAAAAAGAATATGACCTCTTGCCCTAATACTAGCACAGACTATTTAAACATGTCTTCATTTTAGATTTTTTGCTTAGTGACTACGGCAGAACTGATTGCTGTATTAAAGATTTTTAAGTGAGTAGGTATTGATTTAATAATTTCCCAAATAAGTTTTTTGACCCTCTATCTCTAAATAGGTATGAGTTTTTTATAATGACCAACTCCTTCGCAAGACTGTACTTGGGTATTATCTGGAATTGTTTTCTTAATTACAAAATTGAATATGCAAGGGGTAAACAGAGTCTGGGTCCACTTACTCCAAGACTGCTAGTTCCTGCCATAGAAGAGAGAACCTTTGGTTCAAGTGAAGTGACCATGTAGCTTGTGTAAGAAGGTAGAAGTCAAATACAAAAGAGCCTTTGGTCTTTGGTGTATATATTAGAGAGCCTGCATAATTGTTTGCAAAAAAAAAAAGAAACGTGGGGCTTTGTTTTTATGAAAGATCTGAAGTCACTATTTTATTAAATTACTTTCTGAAAATATGCCTTTTTGTCTTTAGTTTTTGTACCATTTCATAAAACTGTTTTTTATTATTTAAGAATTTAAGTTGAACTGGAGGGGACAGAGACTATTTGTGGTTATAATAAATTTCTTTTCTATATTTTGTTTTTATTAGTATCTTAAAGATGAACTTAAAAGCAGCATTTTGGTTTTGTAAATATACTGTAAATTAAACAAATATCATTAATTATCAGGTATGGCAATGTGGTGGGCAGTTGGAGATTATGCCTTGCTCTGTTGTTGGACATGTTTTTCGCAGCAAAAGCCCTCATACCTTTCCAAAAGGCACTCAGGTGATTGCTCGCAACCAAGTTCGCCTTGCAGAAGTCTGGATGGATGAATACAAGGAAATATTTTATAGGAGAAACACAGATGCAGCAAAAATTGTTAAACAAGTAAGTTAGAGCTAAATAATTAAATTACAGTTAAAATCCACACCAAGTTCACATATTCTTTTATTTGAGTCAGTTCAAGTACAAAACATTGTAAAAAATTATGTTTGAAGTTGGTTTTTTAAACTCAAAATATATCTTATTGATGCCAGTTTTTTTCTCTTTTTAAGGAAAAGTCAAGTAAGCTGCTTTTTAAAAAAATTAGGCATTCCACTTGATGTTACTCTTTAAATATGGAAGATATTTCGTTTTTGTAACTGCCTTGGTTCAGGATTTTCCTCAAAGAAAAGTAAGATTAAGTGGAACCACTTTTAACTGGTTTTAGGTGATGCAATTAACACTTTAAGAAAGGTGCTAAGTGGCTTTTTGAACTGGGGCTGGACACAGTGTCAGAATGTGGCAGGATAATAAACCAGGAATATTAAGGCTTTTTAAAAAATATTTTTTAAAGATTTTATTTATTTATTTGAGAGAGAGGGAGCACAAGCAGAGGGGAGAGGGGAGAGGCAGAAGGAGAAGCAGACTCCCTGCTGAGCAGGGAGCCTGATGCAGGGCTTGATCCCCAGACCCCCAAGATCATGGCAGACACTTAACCAACTGAGCCACCCAGGTGTCCCAAGCCTTTTTTTTTATTTCAAGTTCTGGTTGCACTGCTTGCTGGAGGGGTTACCTTGGCAAAGCCCCTTTGAGACTGTAGAATGGGATGACACTTCATAGGGTGGTTGAGAGGTTGGCCCAACATGGGGTGTGTGCTCAGCCAACCTTCTTCTTTCTGCTTCTCCGTCTTGAGAGGTGAAATACTTGCCTATCTCCCAGAGTAGTCATGAAATAAAGAAGTAAGTGTTCACAAATGTATGGCACTGTTGTTACTGACCTGTCACGGATAAAAGCTTTGCAGAATTGTGATGCTTAATACATTGGCACTGAGGTCCAATGGGTTCAATATTGGTTGTGGTAAATGAACTAGACGTTTTAGGAGTGTGCCTCAGTGAATGGCACCCAACCCTTTTTAAGAAACAGTGCTGATTGGGCGCCTGGGTGGCTCAGTTGGTTAAGCGACTGCCTTCGGCTCAGGTCATGATCCTGGAGTCCCGGGATCGAGTCCCGCATCGGGCTCCCTGCTCGGCAGGGAGTCTGCTTCTCCCTCTGGCCCTCCCCCCTCTCATGTGCTCTCTCTCATTCTCTCTGTCTCAAATAAATAAATAAAATCTTAAAAAAAAAAAAAAAAAAGAAACAGTGCTGATTTGCAGGGGGTATATATTGAGATTAAAGGGCATTAGCATTTTGACTGTTACAACAAAAGGTCTGGTTACCTCTTTCCAGCTTTTCTTTGGTCTCCAGTATCTCCCTGTAACATGTTAGTAAGATGCAAAGTCAGAGCACTCCTGGATTAGATGTTATCTGTTTATGTAAGGCCGGCAGGACAAATTGGGCAGACTGTGTACTGCACACGGGTACTTGGCTAAGCAGGCAGGTGGACACTAACTGCAGCTTACACTCCCTTGTCACCCACAAAGGGGCAAGCAAGCCAGTAAACCCTTGTTTTTACCACAGGGCAAACAGATCTTGTGATAAAATGCCTGAGTTAGCCAGAAGTCCTTTAGAGTTTTACCCTTTTTGCTAAAACCCCTGGATTCAAGACATTGATGTTGGCAGAGAAAATATTTACCTTAAATTGAAATGGTAAGCTTGAGTGTTTAAACTTTGTATATATTTAGGTACTAAATATAATTTTTCTTTAAAATTTTGCCTATAGACCAAATACCTTTTCAGTTTAACAGTGTTCTTTAAAATTTTTTTTCTTAGTCTTTTTAAAATAAAGGAAAATAAAATGCAATTGATTAAAAACTTGCCTTTTTCTATGAATATTTTGTTATTGTTAAGGAGTAACACCCTTAAAACTAGAAAAAAATTATGCCCCACTGTGTTGTCTTTTGTAGTCTTGACTAGAGAAGAGATACGAATTAGATTGTATTGGCAACTGTTTCTTTATTTTATTTATGTAATTTTTTTGAGAGAGAGAGTGGGGAGGGCGAGGGACAGAGGGAGAGGGAGAATATATATAAAATATATAAGTAGCTTAAATACTCAAGCTTATCATTTCAATTAAGGTTAAATATTTTCTCTGCCAACTTCGATCAGTGCAGAGCCCAAGGTAGAGCTTGATCCTACAACCCTGAGATCATGACCTGAGCTAAAATCAAGAGTCATGCTTAACTGACTGAGCCGCCCAGGTGTCCTGGCAACTGTTTGTTTATACCTGCTTCCTCACACCTCACTTCACAGATAATTTTTGGGTGTAAAATGAGGATCAATTTTGGATTCTCCCACTACCATTTCTCTAAAGATCTTTGCCTCAGTAAGGGAGGTTTGGTAGCACAAAGAAAGAATAAAATAGGCTTAAGTCAGCACCCACAGTGGTAACTTGATTCTCTTTCAAGGCAGAAACAAGCAGGGAAGCGTACTTGTTGCCTGAATAAATGGTGAATGCAGTTAAATTGCATCTTGCATTTTGGCCCAGAATTCTTTTTTTAAGACCCAAATATAAATACAAATCATAGCATTTAAACTCCTTTGTCAGTGCTGTTTTGATTAAGCATTCTTTTTACTTCTCATCTTTCTCCAGAAATCATTTGGTGATCTTTCAAAAAGATTTGAAATAAAGCACCGCCTTCAGTGTAAAAATTTTACATGGTATCTGAACACTATTTATCCAGAAGCATATGTGCCAGACCTTAATCCTGTTATATCTGGATATGTGAGTATTTTCGGCTCCTTTTTACTTGGTATATGCCTTGCCACAAACATTTATGTGGTTCAGGGAAAATTGGAATACTTTCTGGTTTATGGCTTTTGAGATTTTGCATTACTATTGAAATTAATTGAAAAAATATATCAACCACATAGATTAAAATTTTTTTCTATAACTTGAAAATTTTCCTTCAGATTAAAAGCATTGGTCAGCCTCTGTGTCTGGATGTTGGAGAAAATAATCAAGGAGGCAAACCGTTAATTTTGTACACATGTCATGGCCTCGGGGGAAACCAGGTGAGCCCTGAACTAAAAGTCCTCCCTTTTCACTGACACAAACACGAGTAGGTTGTTAGAAGTCCCAGATCAGCTTTGTATTCAGGTAAATGGCTGTTTAAAATGTTTTAGGTTAAGTTTGGCAATTAATATTAAAGTTGCTGAGTACTTGATTTTGACTCTCCTTCTGACTCTGAAAACAACTTGAAGTGGCTTATCCACTCAGTAGAAAGGCAGATGAGAAAATAATAGAATAAAGCCATTTGAAGTTAAAAAATGGGATCTTTTAAGTGGATCTTTGATGTTAGGGGACTACTGGCAAGGTGATTTTGCAAAATTATACATAAAGGCTATATTTACTTAACTGCATTCAATAGCAAATTATATTAAGTGTTAATACCAAAAGAGCAGTATTAGAAGTTATCTTTGTGGGTCATGATATTATTTCAATATGTTGTTAAATAAGGGCATGTTCTTGATTATCCTTCACTGATGATATATCTGCTTGTTACCACTCTTTGACTGTTTCAACAATCAAGACTCAAATGTTACATGTCACTCTTTGGCCTACTATGGGTACAGAACTTAGGAAAATATCATTTCTAGTATTTAGCTTCCTTGCCTTGCCTTTTACAAGTTAACTCCTGGAAAGATTGGACTCTCATTTGTTCATTCAACAAATTCACTGAGTGACCCCTGCATGCCAGATGGATATTCTGCTGGGTTCAAGCAATTTAGATTTTGACTCCTTCAGGAAATCTACATTTCAACACCAATGGTTACAGTCAGCCTGAAAAGATCTGGGATAAAGCATTCAGAGTACTTCAAGAGTATGAAGGAGGGCATATGAATGAATTAGACTGGGTGCCCATACATTTTCCTTGGAGAGAGGACATTTGAAAACATTTTTTGGAAGGTGCATAGGAGTTAGTGAGGTAGCTGATGGGAATGAGAACAGGATGAGAAGAGTATGAAGAGGAAGGTACAAAGGAGAGGAGCTTGTGTGTCTTTTTTTCTGTGAGTTGCAGGTATTTTGGTAGAGAGTCCAAGATGGGTGTAGAGGATTTTTGCAATATTAAATACTTGTGATGTCCTATTTTTAAGAGGATGGAACTTTGGTGATGTCAGTTTTAAGAAGAAAGAGTCAGTTTATCTCCTGGTCTATCCTCTTCCATGTTTCTCCCTACTCATTAGCCTCAGCTTAATTTAGTTCCAATCCCTACTCATCCAAATGAACCAATCTACTGAGGGTAGGTGACGCAGATGCCCAGAAGCTGTAGCTAGTGAACAGGTTCCATCTCTGGATGATTAAGGTGTAATTCTGAAATGGGATGAAGATACACACACAGATATATATATATATATATATGTATATATATATATATATATATACACACACACACACACACATACATATATATGTATGTATATATATATACACATGCATATATATCTATATACATGTATATGTCTACATATGTGTGTATGTGTATATATATACATACATATTTTAAGATTTCCTTCTATATATTAAAAGAAAAATAATTATATAAATAATCACATTCTTTTGGAAATAACACTGGACTATGCTAGTTAAAATTAAGGTTTTGGACAATGAGAATTATTTTGTCATTTGTAAAAAATCTTATCACTAAATATAAATACTTACAGACTTGCCTCAGGCTTCCTCTAGCATTACATTTATTTTATCATAAAAGTTGAAAATATATGTTGTTTTATGTTTTTCTCTTGTCATTGCCATAAAGATGTTTGTATAGTCTTGTCTCTAAAATAATTTGTAAATTATAAATACAATATAGCTGTCTTTTAAAAATTCCCTTGGGAATGGAGAAGTAGGTCACATATTCTTTCAATAAATATTTGTTTAGAGACTATAATGTCACTTGCAGGGTTACCGTAGTGAAAAAGGCAAAATCTCTACCTTGTGGAGCTTGTGATCTTGAAGGAAAAGAAAAAAAAATACGTAATTTTGGGCATAAAGAAACATGAAGCAGGATAGGTGGTTAATGTGAACCTGGGGAGTGGGAGAGGGGTTTGTTTTCAGAGGTTCAGGAAGACCTCTTTGAGAAGGCGACCTTGGAGCAAAGCCCTAAAGGGATTGGAGAGGAACTGTGTTCTAGGAGGGGCGTGTCCTGGCGGAGGGAGTGCAAGGCTAGAGGCCGGTGGCGGGTCAGTGGAGGAGTCAGAAAGCTAGTGTGTGTCTGCAGCAGAGTAGTCCAGGAAGACAGGGTGGGAAACAAGGTCAGAGACGTAGATAAGGGGCCTGGTCATAGAAGGCCTTGCAGGCCTCCCCTAGGAACTTGGATTTAATTCTCAGTGTGACAGAAGCCATCTGAGGGTTTTGAGCAGGAGAATAGTATTTCCCGGTCTATATTTTAAGAAAAAAGTCTTCTGATTTCTAGCACTGTAATATAGCCATCAATTTTTTTTTGTTTTATTTCCTTTAAGTTTTTTTCTCAGTCAAACATTGCCTTTAAACTGCTCTGCAAATTTTAGTTCCTTGAGTGCTAAGCGTTTTTGAGATATCATCCAACTTGATCATTTCTTTATGCTCCCTTTTACTGTTTTGAGCAGATAATGATATTTGTATAACATGAAACTCCATTGTAACAGTATTTGTATATGCCAAGTAATAGTAAGTATTTTGATAATGTGACTGTACAGACCAATATACTGGTGCAGGGCAGTGTAAGTCATTATGACTTTGTAACACTTAGTGCTTTGCTTCGTTGGCTTCCTATTCCAGGGTATTTGTCCTGGTTCTAGCTTATGTCTCTCCAGTGTTCCCAGGGAGCTAACTACATATTCTTTTTGGTTGCCTAAGTATCTTCACCTACTTCCTATTCCTTATAACTTGCCTTTTAATGATTTTTTTTTAATAACGTGGGTGAAATAAAATATTGGACAGACTTTCCTACCACCTTTGATATCCTAAGATTTATCTTTCTTGAAGAAGTATAGCCAAAATGCGGTTTTCATGATCTACACTCATTTTCATTCAGTGTCTCCATCTGAAGAACTATCAGGTTATAAAAATGATGGATATATTTGTGGAAGGAGCTAAATTAAGCATGAGACCAAGACCAGGGGAACTTAAGATTAATTCAGCTAATGTTTGTGGAGTGCCTACTCCAATACACATAAAGGGTTTAAAACAGTCCCTGCTTAGCACATAATAAGGGCTCAATAAATTTTAGTGCTAAGACTAATTATTTCATTATTGAAAATCCATTATGTTCACTTATTTTGCCTTTGGAGTGTCAACATTATGGAATATTTGATTTGTAATGGATGTTATTACTAGATACGCTGCCTGGCTTTGGTCTGTGGTGAAGCCAGCTAGCTACACGCACAATTCCAACAGAGTAAAAGTTATAAAAGTTATTTCTGATGTACTATAGGAACCCTGAAAAGGGTGTAATTTTGTTCAGTAGGACAAGCTCAGGGAAACTAAAGAAGCAAAGTAACATTTGATTTGGCTTTTCAAGGATAAAAAAGGAATTAGCTAGGCAGAGAAGGATTCAGAAGGATATTTCAGTCAGCGCACAGTAAAGCAGTCTTAGACTTATGGATGCATATGTTCTACATTGGTAAAATTGTTTGAAAAGAGCATGGTGTAGAGTTCAGGTAGTGGTTGATGTAAGATTGAAAATGGAAGAGCTCATGTACTAGTTAAGGAGTGTGGACTTCCTCTTAGCAACAGTAGTGACTCACTCAAGTAAGGGAGGTAGGACATCAAATCAGTGTTATGAAAGACTAACTGGCAGCCGAGTGAAATTATAGAAATTGCAGGTTAGCTGGAAGTACTACAGTAGAGATTCTGAGTGCTGGAAAAAGAGAAGTGAGGTACAGAGCAAAGTACAATGGTGACATCTGACAGGGAAATTCAGTGGAACTAAGGGGCTAATTAATTAGTTGGACATATGGGGAGAGAGAAACATTAATCCTAGTAATAACAGCTAAGATGAATTAAAAGCTTACCATGTACCAGTTATTTTTCTGAGTGTTATACATATATTAGCCCTTTTATCCTCATAACCCTGTGGGGCAGGAAAACTATTAAATTACCCATTTTACAGGCAAGGAAACTGAGACATGGAGATTACCTCATTTAATTGTTCCTAGTGTAAGTGAAAATGCCATTAATTGAGATGAATAAGAGAGAAGGAACACTTGTGGAGAGGAAGAGGCAGTTAATGTGCTTGCTAGAAGTTTCCAGGTCCTTTTCTGAGACGTACCTGTCCTAGCTAACCTCCATTCCACCTGATAACTTCCCACTTCTGACACGGGAGGGAGACATTACTTTTTTATGTACCTTCCTGTGGTGATAGGCTAGGAAAGGGTTATAGCATCTGCTGTTGTAAAAGCTCAGCTTATATTTCTAATACCTATTTTTATTATATTATTTTGTTGAGTGTATACACATGACTTCATTATTCAGTGGGTTGCTGGGTTTTTTTTAAATTACTATTATTGGACCATTATTTTGCAGCTGAGGATACAGGGTGAGAATACAGGTCAGTAATAGCATTCTTCTTTTCACAGTATTTTGAATACTCGGCTCAGCATGAAATTCGGCATAACATCCAGAGGGAATTATGTCTTCATGCTGCTCAAGGTCTTGTTCAGCTGAGAGCGTGTGCCTACAAAGGTCACAGGACAGTGGCCAGTGGAGAACAGATATGGGAGATCCAGAAGGTACATCAGTGCAATTAATTCACCCCTTTCTATAATTATTTTGATTAGCTCTAATTGCTTATCTGGGAAAATGCATGAAACATAGCATTATTAATGTTATCCATCAGAATTTCTCTTTTTTAACTTTGTTGTGTATGTCTACCAATGTGATGAGAGAATGTATCTATGGATTCAATACTCTTAGAAACAAGTTGTTTAATGAAAGCATAACTTATACAGATCAACACTTTTGTAAATTATTAATAATAGTTGCTCATATTTGTCTCTTTAGAGTCTCTTACAATTCTTCTGGCAACAGTCACATATTTTTTTTTTTTATAATGGCAGAGAGACAAAAAAAATCATTATCTTTTTCTCACCTAAAGTGATTCATTTCTCCTGTTTCAGTAGTTTTTTAAAATGAATTTAGAATTGAGAGAATACAAAAAAGATCCTTCCTGTTTTTAAATATATGTGTTAAGGCTTAGCTGGAACATAGCAATTCTTACCTAAAAATTGTTCTGTGCCATACTAGAACACTAAAAGACTGATTTTTATAACTTATAAAAAGAGTTTGTCACTTATGGATATACCAATGGAATGGTTCTTATTTGAAAACTTGATTCAGACCTTACTCTTTATACATCTCTTTATTTATGTAATACCTCCTGTGAACTGAAAAGTAGTGGTATAAATGGTATTGTTCATACCAGAAACCAACAAGATTTTATCAAGACAAGGTTGATCTGAGAAAGATTAAAAGTTAACTGTGTACCTTTGGTATGTGAGTCTCCTTTAGCTTCGATGAGACCATAATGTAGTTTTCATATTTATCAGTTAACCATGAGTCTTGAAATTTAATGTCTGTTGTGTTTCCTTTTATTCTAGGATCAACTTCTATATAATCCATTCTTAAAAATGTGCCTTTCAGCAAATGGAGAGCATCCGAGCTTGGTGTCATGCAATCCATCAGATCCACTTCAAAAATGGATTTTTAGCCAAAATGATTAAGTGTTCCTTAAAATTAAGGAGTTGAAAAAGGAGATATTCTTTCTCATAAAACTGTGACTAGGCATACACTGTAGTTTTTGAAAATTATGCAAAAGCAGCTAATTGTAACTTATTCCAAGTGCATTTTTCTTATTTATATCTTAAAATGTCTATGTAGCACTGCTACAGAAATCTTTTAAGTTTCCGTTTCAAAGCACAATAACTAATAATACCAAAGACTATTTTGAAATGTCCAGATGTAGGGGAAGAGATGTTTACAGTATGATGAAAATAATTTTCTAAGTAAAGTGATGTATGTGTGTTTTGTACACTCAAAGATATGCATAGCTCCATTCACACACTCACAATTTAAAATATTTCTTCTAGTTTTTGGGGGGAGGGAGAAAGATTTGATACCATATTTTTTTAACTACATAGAAATGGATCAGTGAAGGTCAAGCATTGGCCTTTGTGTATAAACCAGGAAATTTTTATAGATCTAGGATTTATTATATAAAAATGCAAGTAAACTTTTTTGCCTTTTGTTTACTTATCTGTCATAGGTTTCCTTAAACATGAAATTAAATGATTAAGGAGAATATTTTTAACACTTCAGTATCTTGGCAAATTTTAAAATATTTTTTTGTCTGAAGCCCACTTGACTTAAAGCACTTAAATCTTGCTTAAAAGATATTTCTTAAATAACTATACTGTGTGTTTTCCCAAAGCAATATTTAAAAAAAAAAAACTGTAAAGTACTATCTGTTGAAAAGGTGTCTTTTTCCTTTCTGCTAGTCCTTTTTTCTTACCAAATTCACTAATCTTGAATGTTTGTGAAATTGAATTTCAAATGCAGAATACTTGACTCATTTAAAAGCTAAATTTTATTTGTTACTGATTCAATTTAGATTGTCTTTGTAAAGAATTTTTTTCATCAAAAAAATCCTTCTATGTGGAAAACACAATAAAATGAATCCTTATCACTGTTGTAATTACTTGATTTAAATTTCTTTCCTCTTTTGGATAAAATATATAATTCATATTAGATGGGGGGGCATGAATTTTGTATACTTAATTTAAGTACCTATTGTAGAGCCGTCAGATATTTCTTAAGGAAAACTCAAGTATTTTGTGGTAATGGCATAAAAAATGGGGAGTGGAGGATTCTATGTTAGATATTTTGAAAATTTTGTACTAATTTCTGATATTCCTTGAGCATCTAATAGAGTAATTTTTTAAAAATGTGATGCCTACATAGATTTAACACTTTTCTTTTTGGTCCATTTTATATAGAGATCTCTTGTATTCTTATTTAAGAAGTAAAGTATGATTGGCTTCATATTTTAAATGTTGCTGAGCCTCAGTTGTACAAAAGAAAATATTTTAAAATTATTGGTTCCTTCACTTCATTGTTTGTAACTTTGAACTTGCATTAAAAGACCTGCATTCTTGGGGACTTGGGATGCCTGGTTGGCTTAGTTGATTAGGCAACTGACTCTTGGTTTCTGCTCCAGTCATGATCTTGGGGTCATTATCTCCGGTTGTGGGGTTGAGCCCAGCATTGAGCTCCAGTGTCAGGCTCTGCACTCAGTGCAGAGTCTGCTGAAGATTCTTTCCCCTCCTTCTCCCTTCCCCTCTTCTCCTCCCCAACTCACATGCATGCCCTCTCTTTCTCTCAAATAAATAAATGAAATCTTAAAAAAAAAAAAACATTCTTTAATTTATTACAATGCCAACATTTATTTCAATTCAACTAACATTTATTATATGTCTAACTTGTGCCCAAAGTTATGGTAGGCAGAATGAGTCTTATAATGCCTTTGAGCTTAGATCTTATGGAGCAGAAAGACAAATAATTTTGAAATAGCATAAGCCTGGGTGGCTCGGTCAGTTAAGCGTCTGCCTTCGGCTCAGGTCATGATCCTAGGAGCCTGGGATCGAGTCCTGCATCGGGCTCCCTGCTTTAAAAAAATTTTTTTAAAGATTTTATTTATTTATTTGACAGCACAAGCAGAGGAAGAGGGAGAAGCAGGCTCCCTGCAGAGCAGGGAGCCTGGGATCATGACCTGAGCCGAAGACAGATGCTTAACTGACTGAGCCACCCAGGCGCCCCTAAAAAATTTTTTTTGAAATAGCATAGTAACATTATGATTTATATTTCATGACATGACAGCTTATTATTCATATTTGGTATTTCTTTAATAAGTAAAGGTATTTTTACTACTATAGCTAAATACTAATATGTATTGTGAAAGATACACGGATGCCCATTCACATGCACAATTTCTGTTTCTCAATTTGTTACCCTAGAGTAAATATCCAGGAGCAAATACTGCTCTTAGAGTTCATTATATCTCACAAAACAAATCCTCAAAGATATTCTGTAAATGAAAATGTATAAAGCATATTTAAAAAAAAAATTCGAGTGCCCTCTGTGTATTAGGCATGTGTTGTCATGTCAAGACTCAACCAAAATCTATTTAGATTAGTTGGTTTTATTATGACTGTATTAAATGCATCAAAGGTAGAGTCCTTCTTACCTGATTTGGGAGCCTCAGACTGTTGTTCAAGTGTCACATAATTCATTTCATTAGGAATTTACCCTTCAGGATAATTCTGAAACAATGCTAATAGGCATCTATTCATGGAGTCTGGTTGCCGTCTACCTGAGAGACTTGAATACACACAAGTGTGAAATTGTGGAGCTTTTCCTCAATTTCAAGTGACCATGGCAAATGGTCTAATTGCTTCACAAGACCTGGCATGTTTCCTTCATTCCAGAGGACTAAGTCCTGAGAACTCTAGATTGGTAAGCTCACTGCCAAACCTTCTAGGGTTAACCTGATGGGTGGGCTCACTTAGAACCAGTTGTGACTAGCTACAAGAGAAAATAAGCAATATACTAAAATTGCCTATTACTACAACCAATAATGACGAACTTTTAAGCCCCTATATTGCCAGATAATTGACCTTACTGTTAGACAATTTAATTAAATACTATGTAAGCCATCAAAATATAAATGCAAAGATACAGGGAGCTGGTTGAATGCTTTGGGAAAACAACAAAAAAAGCCAAATTATTTTTTTAAAATGCTAAGTTATGTGTGGATGAGAACTATGAAAGAGAAAACAAATATCTCAGAAGATTCTGCATTCAAATTGCTTCCAATTTACTTTTAAAAAAGCAAAACAAAGGATCTTCAGACAATGTATTGTTAGTGTGGTTTGTGCAGGAAAGATGTTGCATAATTCTCATAAACCAATTCAAACTCAAAAGGCCTTGGCCTTTCAATGGAATGTTTGTGAAGAAATTAATATACATACAAGTGTAGGAATGAATGTGTGTGTTTTAAGTTAAAAATATTTGAAACATATCTTCTTTTTATGGCTTTCTATTTTAACTACATTTTTCAAATTGTCAGTCACTTATCAGTCCAACTGCATTGGAGAAGAGCTTTTTCTGCACACAGGTGTAGTCACTATTGCTCTTCAATATTTAATGATATTCAGGAAATATCGGTATTTTTGTGATTGTAGTAGGCATCAGGACCTAATGATACACAAAATGGTCCTTCAAGAAGTTTACATCTAGTAATGATTGACAATGATATTTTGGAAAGAAACAGTCCATGATGAGTCAACACCTTCAGTCTGCAGTGGGTCCATTGCGAGGAACAAGAAGGGAAAAAACAGTGCCTTGTATTTTAGAGGTAAATAGCTAGAGTATGCTTGTCAGGCTTGATTGTGCACACTGGATCTTATTAAAATGCAGATTCTGATCCATTACATCTGGGTAGAACCTAGGATTCTGTACTTCTTCTTCTTCTTTTTTTTAAATTCTGTATTTCTAATAAGCTCTTAAATGGGGCCAAGGCTGCTGGTCTTGAAACCACACTTTGAGTAAAAAGACTACTCATGGAACCAAAGCCTAGGATCCTTTGAGACGATCACAGTGACTTCCATTATGCTTTACATCTGATTACTTCAGGCATCACCATAGAACAGTGCTCTCTGCTGTCCTCTGTTGCCATTATGGTTCTCCAGCAATTCCCACATCTTGTGATTTCCCTAGCTTGGTCAATTCCCCCACCTTGTCCATTGTCTTCTACTCTGCCAGCTTCTACTCCTGTTCTTTGATCAGAAAACTCCCTTGTGTCAACAGCCTGATCTCTGGAAGTTCTATTCTTTGTCTTGCCTTAACTCAAGCTAGACATCTATGGATACTTCCTCTTATTCCTATCTAAATGCTGTTGTCTTTTTTTTCTAACCTTCTTGTGCTTCAAACTGAGGTTTTGAAGTAGGTGTGTCCTTTCTACAAAAATGCCCCATGAAGACCATGCCATGTGGATATATTATCCTCCACCCTTTCTAGCTCTTGTGAGTTATAAATCTATAGGTCATTTCTCTTGATTCATTCCCTCCATTCATTAAATACTTTAGTTCTTGTTTGACTTCCCTTCTTTATACCCCTAGTTCTATCACACTCGTGGGTGACTTCAATGTTCGTGCAAATGACTCCAGTGTCTGTGCTCTAATTACTTGACTGCCATATTTCCTTCCCTCGGCCACACCCTTTCTTGGCATCACTAGTAACCATTTCTTCTCTGACAGTTTGATCATTTATAAACTCTCTGACTAGCACCTCCTGTCCTTCTAGGTCATTCATACTAGTTCTTTCTCTTAAAAAACCTTTCCCTACCTCTTTGAGACCTTCAAACCATTGATCTTGTTATTCACTATCATCAACTCTAGTCCACACCTACCTGCTGGTCCAAAATGGTTTCAGTTTTTTAACATTATAATAATTCTCTACCACTTTCAACTCACATGTTCTTTTCTCTATCATTCTTACTTGAAAAATTCCAGATCCTGGATAAATCCAAGTATTTACAAAATATTTGCATCCTCTACTCCTGCATCCTAGCAGTTGGCATCCTGGAATGATACCTTCACCATCATCATTCTGGGAATACTCCTCTCTCTCTCTCCCTCATGCTGATCCTCCAGTCTTGTGGATTCTATGCCTTCCTCCTTCTTGGTTTGTTTCCTCATTTTGGAGTACACCATGTGGTAACTTTCTGAGGAAGGGTTCAGGATGCATACTTTCTTTGAGAACTTTATATCTGAAAATACCTTTATTCTACCCTCACATTTAATAGGTTGCCTGAATATAGATTTCTTGGTTAGAAATCATTTCTTTAATTGATATTTTGACGGTATTGCTCCATTTTCTTCTAAATGCCCATATTGAAAAATCCAGGGGCACCTGGGTGGCTCAGTCGGTTGGGCAACTGCCTTCGGCTCGGGTCATGATCTCAGGGTCCTGAGATCGAGCCCCGCATCGGGTTCCCTGCTCAGCGGGAAGCCTGCTTCTCCCTCTCCCACTCCCCCTGCTTGTGTTCCCTCTCTCACTGTCTCTCTCTCTGTCAAATAAATAAAATCTTTAAAAAAAAAAAGAAAAGAAAATCCAGTGCATTTTTTATTTTTGATCCTTTGTTAGTGATCTTATTTTTTTCTCTCTGAAAACTTACAGGTCTTCTATTTGCCCTAATGTTCTGAAACTTCATAGTGAGTGTTACATTGCTTTATATTTTTCTGTGCTCCTTAAATACTCATGCCTTTCAATTCTGAGAAATTTTCTAAATATTTCTTAATTTTATCTTTTATAGTCTTAGTTTCTTTCTGGAAACTGTATTATATCAGACCTCTAATATATTGATCTTTTAATATATTTGGAAGGGCACTTTGCTCACTTTATCCCATGTCTTTGCTTATTCTATTTTCTAGGAAGTATTCTTGATGTATCATTCTAAGCCGTCTACTAAGTTTTTAAATTTCTATCACTTATAATTTCCATGAGCACATTCTTATTCTCTGAATGCTTCTTGCATAAGATTTTGTTATACTATATGAATGAAATTTTTTCCTTTACCTTTGTAGGAATATTAATGATAGTTTTTTTTATCTTAAAGTTTTCATCTATTTTCATGGA